TGCGTCGTACTTGATGTTTTAATTAATTTTCTTGATAAAAATCTTATAAATGTAGCTAACAGAATTTCTGGAATTACCAATATTTGGCGGCAAGTTCGAAAAAGAATTATTGGATAAAATTAGTCTGGAACCAATTAGGCATTCCAACGACCTGTCAAAAAGTGCGTTGTGGGCGGAAGTTTATTATTCCGTATATGAGAGTATGGAATTTAAAGCTTTTTAAAGTGCATTTTGTGGTTGTTTTGTGAATGAACTCTGTTTATTTTTTTATTCTATTGACTTCATTAGTGTTTCTTCTAATTAAAAATGCCACAAACGTGTCTTGTAGTTGATTGTGGAAATAGTTTCAACAAAGTAACAAGGATGATGTCAGGCTTTTTTCATTGCTCTCTGTTTCAAAATTTTCCAATTAAAACGTGAAAATTTTTCACTACCACTGTTCCTGCTTCTGAAATTAAGCCAGACTCAAAATAATTGTGAGAATCTAAGCTTTTGTAAGCCTTCATTTGCTCAATAATGTGAAATTTGTGAAAACTGTGGGTCAAAATGTCAACTGGACATTTTTTTCAAACTAACCGTTCGCCCACATCCCGATTTTCCTGCATTTAAGTCTTTAAATATTCACTCTGCATCTCAAAAAGTATATTATAACAAAGTAAATTGTAATTAGCTTGAAAATGTTCCAAATAAACTCAAGATAAACAAACAAACGTCAAATTTTCCACACTCGCCATATTGAAAAATAACAATAACGCTTTAGTATAGATTACTATAGATAAACATAAGTCTTCAAAAAAAAAAAACGTAAATTGAAGATGACTATGATTTAGGCCATGGTCCGAATGTAACCAAACATTAGCCAAAGTAACCGAATCGGTTGACAGATGGTTACTGAAAATTGCGGTTAGTTAGGGAACGCATATTGGAAATAAAACATAATTGACAGAAATTACAGTTAAAACCAACAGAACCGACATCCGATGGCTGGTAATTATTTTGACATTTGGTTAACCAGATTTCAGGAAACCAAGGTCTAAAAGTAACGACTTTTCCAGGAACCAGAGTAATTTGATTACTTTCGGACCGTCAAATATGACAATCCCTGTCATTGCCGTAGGTATAGCTGGTGAGCCCGTTTTACAATAGAAAAAAACAGGTGTCCCACTTTTTGTGCTTTCGACTGTACATAAACTTTGTTCCACGAGGGTTCATATTGTTTGCCTTTAACAAATAGAAATTGACTGAAACGGATCAATGACGTCAAAAACGTTCGTCAATTCTTAAACCACAAGTCATTCATTTTAATTTGTCAAAAAAACTGAATGTGTCATATATTATGAATTATTCTACTACAACTCTTTTTTTCATATTATGCTGTGTTTGATGTCAAAAGTATGAACCCTCGTGAAACGATCTGTATATCTGTTGCGTCTTGTGGGGTCTCGCAATTACTCTACTCGACGTACCACTTCTTGATAAATATACTGGTTCATGGTAAAGCACAATAATTATTTTAGTTATATAACTTTTATTTTATTTTTGGTGTTAATAAAAGTCAAAATGCAAACCGGAGATATTTTTCTTACATCTCGACGGTACTCAAAGGTAGAACCGAATCGAAATCAATAATTTCTTGGCTCTTAGGGCCATCGGCATTAAGCCGTCGGTAGCAATGTTGCCAAAACCAAACGGCGTTGCCAAAATAAAAAAAATTATTATAAAGTCTGTTTTTTTTTTAAAGATAATTCCCCAAGTCACAAATTTAGTAACTATGTTGGCAACACAAGCATTTTCTACATAAAAAAATTTTGAAAGATTGACAATTTTACATTGTATTGCCAACATAATGTCATTTTGACTTTTATCTTTAAAAAAAAAACAGATTTTAGTTTTAGGTAAATAATAGAAAATAATTTACAAACTCAACAATATCCACGCATGTCTTAGCAATAATTTTCTTCAACTTTCTGATGTCATGTCAAAAATCTAATAAATAAAGAAACATTAATGCCAAAAATGTATCACTGTGAAATTATTTATGGAAACGGACGCGACGTACCATCTTCACCAAAAGTATCTGGGACACAAATAATGCATAATAATCTCCTGGACTAATTCTACTGTCATTCATTTCAATGCATTTAATTCATAGTTTGACAAATATTTGACACTAAAATTTATACAGTGAGGACATAAAGTCCGTCGCCCCCCCTCTAACTTTTGAACCGCTCGGTATATTTCCACAAAATTTAGAATGATATGTGAGTAAATTCTCCATTTTTTGAAAAACAAATGACAGCTTCATCTGTCAAAATGACAGCTGGGCGCAGTTTTACAACAGTTTTTTAAATAGAAGGCGGTGTCGAGTGATATATCAGCTGGGTTCGGCTATTCAGCGCGGAGTTGGAGTGGAGTGAACAGAGCTAATGGAGTCACCTCTAATACGGTAAAAAGCAATACCCGAACCTTAACCCGAACGGCTGGAGTGCGAATAGTCACTCCGAGTGCACGGAGTGAGCAAGCCGAACCCACCTATCGTTTTAAAGGTCTCTTTATTCCTAATTTAATCCCCGATTCTGAAAACATTTGGTTTAGCGGATTTAAAATGATGACAGAAAAACATAGGGCCATTTTGCTTATACACACTCATAAAAAAGAAATTTAAAAAAATATTTATGGGTTTTTTATTCATCATTGTTTTTTTTTTGTGATAAATAATAACGTAATGACATTAATAATTAAAAAAAAAACAAAAGTACTCAAAAAATAATGATTGAATTTATGCAACAAGTGTGTAAAGTGAACCTTTTTTCACGAATGTGAATTTTGACGCACAAGCCGAAGGCGAGTGCGACAATCACGAGTGAAAAAAGGTGCTTCACGCACGTATCGCATACAAAAGTTTTTCTACTACCAATCAAATATTTATGAAAAAATAGATTTAGACAAATACTTTACGAACTAGTGCGTGAAGTATTTTCACTTTACACACTAGTGCGTGAAGTAATTTACCAGAAAAATACTTAATTGACAGTGTCGATATCTGTCATTGACATTACTTTACGCACCAGTGCGTGAAGTGAATTACTTTACGCACTAGTGCGTGAAGGGAAATTTTACGTCTTCCGAATAGTGCGTAAAGTGAGTACTTTACGCACAGTAGTAGAAAAAAAAAATTATGACTAAAACAAGCCTTTTTTGTTTCGTCATCATTTGAAAACCACTAATGGCCATTTGCACCGACCATTTTAAGGGAGGTGTAACGATAATCAATATTTAAAGTGACATTTTTACACACAAAAATGTCACTTTAAACGTTAATTATCATTAATCCTCCCTTAAAATGGTCGGTGCAAATGGCCATAAACCAAATATTTTCAGAATCGGGGATTAAATTAAGAATAAAGAAATCTTTAAAACGATATATCACTCAAGTGCCGTGTCAACACCGCCTTCTATTTAAAAAAATGTTTCAAAAGTGCCCACAGCTGTCATTTTGACATGTGAAGCTGTCATTTGTTTTTCAAAAAATGGAGAATTTGCTCATATATCATCATTATAAAATTTCGTTGCAATATACTGAGCGGTTCAAAAGTTAAAGGCGGGACGACAGACTTTATGTCCTCACTGTATAATAGGACAAGAGCTAATGTGATGCTGTCCCAGCTACTTTTGGTGACGATGGTACATACATACGTTTTCGTAATCAAAGCTCTCTTTACTTTTTGATTTAGTTTTTTTTTGAAGACCCTTCAGCTAACTACTAAAAGCACAAAATAAAATCTAACAAAAAATTAGGCTCACTTTTATTGGATTGCCTTTTTTGCATCATTATTGTGTACAGGGTGTCCCAAATTCGAGGGTGACAATTGAGATATCGGATACTATAAGAGATACGAGGTCGGTTAAATTATGGCAATGTTGCGCAATTTTATGACCAATAAAATTCCATTTTGAAATTTGAAAAAAACCGAAATTTTGCAAAATCATTTTTATTTTTTCCTGAGTCTATTTGAAGATCAATTTTAAAATAAATGTTACTTCATCGTCACTTTTCTCCCTTTACAAGATATTGCTACCAAATGTCAGAATCGACGTTTCGTCTTTGAGCGGCCATCATCAACTTAATTTTTTTAAATACGGACCTGGATTTTTTATTTCCGATTTAAAGAGCTTCTGTTGTTCCAAAACCTATTGACGTATCGCATTTATTCGAAAAAATATTTTTTTTTTACTTTTTAGTAATTTCCTAACAAAATTCTCCTCTCTGTCTCTCTCTTACACAGTAAGTTCTTATGGAAAGTGCCAATAATATAAACGTTTCGAATAAGTGTGATACGTTATTGGTTTTGGGACATCAGAAGCTCTTAAAATCGGAAATAAAAAATCCAGGTCCGTATTTAAAAAAATAAAGTTGTTGATGGCCGCCCAAAGACAAAACGTTGAATCTGAAATCTCCTAGCAACATCTTGTAAAGGGGAAAAAGTGACAATGATAAAGTGTCATTTATTTAAAAATTGTTCTTCAAATAGAGTCAGGAAAAAATAAAAATGATTTTGCAAAATTTCGGTTTTTCCCGAATATCATCGGAAATATTCGGAATTTCTCAAATTTCAAAACGGCATTTTATTGGTCATAAAATTGCGCAACTTTGCCATATTTTAACCGACCTCGTTTCCGATATCCCAACGGTCACCCTCGAATTTGGGATACCCTGTACAAAGTTACCCTTGTTCCTTGTTCCATATTCCAGAAAAATGTTTTATGTTCCTTTTGTTATTTTTTTTTTCTACCACACACTTCGGTTTTGGAACGACGTTTCATCGTGGCGATGAAAACCGTCGTGTTTTATCGTAGTCTGTGGGGCCCTGTAGAAAACCGTCGTGTTTTTCTATTACACACTTCGGTTTTAGAACGACGTGTTTCATCGTGGTGGTGAAAACTGTCGTGTTTCATCGTAGTGTATGGGGCCCTTTAAATACTATATTACAGGTTCTTACTTGTTTCAATGCAGCCCCTTCTTTGAACAAATCCTCAATCATTTCATCTCTCGTACTTCTAAATGAAGGTAAGGGCGTCATACTGTCTAATTGTTGTTTGAGTTTGTCGTTTTGAAGTTTAATGCGCTCGTTGCGTTCCTGATGGAACAATTTGCGTAGATTTTCAATTTCTTGTAGCAACAATGGAGAATCCCTAACGACAGCAGGGATATTTGGCCCCATTGAAGATTGTAAAGAAGGCGATAGCATACTGCCTGCAAAAAAAATTGTTAGTAAAAATTACCATGAGAAAATTGTTAATTACTTTTAGCTTCAACTTGTGCTTTTTTTGTTAGCATTTTCATTTTTTCCTTCATTTCCCCTTTTTCATTTTCCAAGGAATCTATATCGGTTTGCAAATGATCCAAGGTTTCTTCAAACTCTCTTTCCTTCTTTTTGTATTGATTATGAGCTTCTTCCAATTTCCTTTGTAATTTTTCAATAGTTAACTCATAGTCTTTGTTAACATTGCCTAACTTCTTCTCAGCCAATTCTTTTCTAATTGTCATTTCAGATAATTGTTCTTGTTTTTCTTTGACAAGTTTCTTAAGATCTTTTATATCAGATTCTTTATTCTCCAATTTGCTTGTTAAAGTTTTGGTTTGTTCTAATTCTTTTTTTACAGCTTCTGCCCGCACTTGAATAGGTGGTATAGCTTTTTCTTCCTTATTCGAAATAAATTGTAATTCATTATCCTGTAACACTTTGGATATATTTGTTATTTGTGTCAAAAGCCAAGAAATGGAATTTTTGATGCTCTGTATTGGACCCAAATCGTCTTGTTCGTATATTTTATCACTGGCAGCCATAGCAATGTCTTTTAGTTTTTCATCTGACAAACCTTTATTATCGTTTTCACCGCTCGTAGCCAGATACTGTGTAGCGGACTTCGCAATTTCATTGATGGTTTTCAAGATCCGGCCTGATTGTTGATAACACTGATTCAATGTATCGTAGATTTCCTTGTCGAAACCCAAATTTGTTATGTTTATATCAGTAGGAAGGCGTCTTTTTGCCAATTTTAATTGTTGCTGGAGCTGTTCTGCTGTTGTTATCACATGCTGGGATAGTAGACAGATATCGCCAACAGTTGCACTCTAAAAATGATCATAAATGCTTATTCAGTGAAAAATTATTATTATGTTTTCATATATAGGACAGATATACTGGCAATAATAGTAACAAGTGAGCGATCTTTTAAATTTATATAGAGTCACTGGTAATTTCGCACATTTATTTGGAGATTTGATAGAACTACAGAAAGTAAGGAGAAAATAAAATTTCGCCCTAGCAATATGAGGTTCCACTTTACACACTTTTTCACATCTTCACAAATTACTAGTAACCCTGTGTATTGACACTTGAAGTTTATTTCATAAAATATAAGAAAGTTGCTTACCTCACAAAGACTTCTTATAGCACTAGCATCAACAGTAAAACCATCCACAGCACTCAGCAATAATTTAATATTATCAGTTATAAGTTGATTTTGATTCAATTTAGCTTCAGTGCCCAACATAACCGGATATAGATTTTTAAAATAATGGAAACATTTTTCTAAAGGTTCTAAAGCAACATTCTCATCAAGCTGATCTCGTTTCACCAAATCGACAAATCCGTCTATCACTTTTTCCTGGGCTGCCATTTCTGGAAATGCTGCGCCTACTTTGAGAAGTGCTTCAGGTTTACAGGTATTGAGAGAGTAATAATATTGATGAAGAATGCTCTAAAAAAAATACATAAATATGTAAATAGGTTTGTGAAAGTTGCATATTTACCTGTAAAGCAAAAATAAAGTACGACATTCGGCACCTAAAAGAATATTGTTCGACAGTGTGGCCTTTTAAAATAATATTCCTGTCCACTTTTTCGGCAACGGGAAATTTATCTTTAATTTGGCCCAACAAGATATCCAATTTATGAATTAATCTTGGGATTAACAAGAGAATCAAAACTGCATCATGATCTCCTCCGCGATTCATAAATGAGTCAGGCATATAAGAGCTGAGATATCTAATATGTTGTTGAAGTTGTTGTACGTCAACTCTTCTAAGTTCCAAATCAATTGCTTGAAAAATGGATAAAAATTAGTTAAACAAATAATTTTTAGTTAGTAATTCTTACCTTTGGTATGTGCTTTGGTTTCACTGAACATTTTCTTAAAATCAGCAATTTCTGGTAAAGATTTAATAGGTTTACTGGTTTCAGTTTCAAGCTGTTGTTGCAAGTTGAGTGATTGTTCTTGTAACTGTTGCACCAAATTTCTGAATTTATTAATAGTTCCTTCACGATCTGCGATTGTTTCTAAAGCGGCGTCTCGATCCCTTTGGGCCTAAATTAATTTTTCAATGCATTATGATTTTACTGAAAATTTGAAAAACCTACTTCTCGAGTTGCTGACATGGCCATATCAAGTTCCTCACGTAAATCAGCTTCTAGTTCGGCATTACTTTCAACCAATTGATCGTTCATGTCTTGTAAAGCTTCTAGCTCAGTCACTTCCTCTTCCAATTCCGCCACTTTTTCTTCTAGAGTTAATTTTTGCTCTCCTAATATTACAACCATTTCTTCAGCTCCTAAGGCTGCATCCACTTGTTCTTGTAAATCGGATATTTGTTGTTCCATAGCTTCGACTCTTGTGCTGAGTTTTTCCTTGGTTTTTCCGAGCTCAGTGATTTCAGATTTTTTCTGGTCAATGTCTTTAAGTAATTTTTGGTATTCGTGTTTGTCGTGGGCAGATAAATCTCTTAATCTTACTAAGGTTTCTCTTAGACGGGCATTTTGCTGTTGGAGCTGTTTGATTTCGTAGGCTGAGATTCCTTGATCTTCATTAGTAGTAGCTGTAGTAGTACCTAATGCTGTAATAAGATTCATAGTTTATTTATTGTAAAAAAAAGTATAATCAAAATGTATAGGGCCAAAAAACTGTGAAAGTATAAGGTGTCCAAAAAAGTCAATATCAAAGAGAATTATCATTCTTACATTTCTCCTCCATCTCAGTTTTCAAAATTTGCAAATCCAAAGTAACTTCTTCTAGTTTTTCCTTACAAGCCTCTAGTTCCGTTTGCAATGTTTCAGCTTTTTCCTCAGCCATTTCTCTATCTAACGTTGCCATTTCCACAGCTTCAGCTAAGTCAGCAACTTCTTCAACATGAGCTTCCTTAGCTTCAATCGCTTCTTTAGCCTCTAACTTGGCACGTTGTAACTCTCTTTGAAGACTGTTTTGGGCTTCCATGATTTTCGACTTGAACTCAACCAATTGTTCTAACTGAAGGTTTGTTTCAATACATTAATCAGTTTAAAGTTATAGTTTCAATTTACCTGAATTCTTAGTTTGTCATAATCCTTTAATTTCTCCTTATCTTCCTGTCGTCTTATTTTAAGTGTTTCAATTTTTTCACTCAGATCCTTTATTAGTTGACTTCTATTTTCAAGCTCCTGCTGTAGCTGTAAATGGCTAAGTTTTTCTTCTATCGAAGTAATTGGAGTTGGTGTAGTAATCATGGCTCCAGGAGTGAATTGGGGCTTCAGTGTTTCCACAAATCCAGTCTAAATTTATGAAACCATGTAATTTAGAAAAAAAATCAAACCAGTTGTAATCACCTACTTCAATAAAAGATGCTCGTTTTGGAATTTGGGAAAAAGATTCGCTCATAGCTCCTTCCAGCGGTTTTTCTAGAGCAGCAGATGCTAAATGTGTCCTACTGCCAGACAATGATTGTCTACTTCCAGACAATGATTGTTTACTTTCAGACAAAGATTGTCTGCTGCTTGTCAGAGACTGTCTGCTACTAGCCAGTGACATTCTAGAGCTAAATTAAAATTAAGAATTTCATAAAAAAAATATGTAATTTAAACTAGAATATAAAAAAGCAGAATTTACTGTACCTATTAGAATGCATATTAATATTACTACTATCAAGCAGATGAGATGCATGCTTTCTAGACTTTCTACATAAACGCAATTTTTGTTAGTTAATTTGAAAATTCGATCTAAACAAATACATAATCTAATCTCTTATATAGACATGCAAGTATGCAACACATCTATCATTGATACCTGGATGCTGATAGGGATGTTGGCCCCGAGGTTGGCCCTTTTGGTGTCTTACGTCGGACACTATTAGTTATCAATTGCAGCATAAAAATATAAAATTTATTTTGTTAAAACTCTCGTTTATTCATTAGTTATTTGTCGAAAAATTCTGTTACTACTGAAAAATTAGGTAATTATTTAGTTTGGGTATCCTAAGAAAAAAGCCTCCCTATCATGCTCATGTGTTGCTGGATATTAAATGAACGATGATTGGGTTGTTCAAAATGGATAGGTACTAAGAGACTTACGTAGTAGGAATAGGTTTTGTTCCAGCACTTCAAGCAGCAACACAGAAAATTTATAAGAATCCTAATCAAAGTAATAGAAAGTGTATTGCCATTTAAATTTGTTTTCATAAGATTTTAGTTGAAGCATTTTTTAATTTTGTTACAGCCTAAATCAACTTTGTAATATACTTACACTGTAGGTTGAGTTTTCATTCCAGCACTGCTAGAGGCAGACCTTTAGGCCAACAAAAAAATATATGAAGATGTTAGTACATAATACAATACCCAGATTGTCCTACTTTTAACAATTAATAACAACGTTAGTAGAGTTAAAGAATACAATTAATTAATATTTAAGATGGTTGAATTATTATTACAAAAAGTTGACACTTACATGCTAGGACGTGATCTAGCAATTTTTGAAGCGGGAATTTCAGAGGTTTTTGCGGGAATTGGTTTTCCATCTTCATCCAATGGCTGAATCTGTGTTTCTCTTACAAACATTCCATGATTGGGTTCACACTGAAATAAAATTAGTGTCAAATAATATACGTAAACGTGGCAGTGGAACAAGATTTTTTTTTACTTCAGAAACGTACAAAGCAAAATTCAACTAAATCGACCCTCATGCTACATTTGGCTTTTAAAAGGAATAGAAACAATTTAATCTGCTCTGAGTGCTCTGTCAGGGTGAGATTTTTTTCACGTTTGTGAATGTGTTTTGAATAAAGAGGAACACATGTTATTTGATCCTCAGGATCCTCTATTGGTAACCTATACAATCTATACTTAGCCAATATAAAATATAATAGAATTTGTGAAGTTAGAGGCAAGAGTGAGCATTTGAGCTCAAACTCACAAAACAAGAACAGCATCAGTGCATTGCTTCCTAGAGTTGTGGAAGGAGTTGAAAAAATGAAGGCAATCATGATTTCATACGTGAAGTTAGCCTCAATTTCTAAACACAAATTAGGGACGCATCTGATCATTCTGATCTACACCAAAACAATTTTCCCTTTTTCAGACTAACTTTTACTGGAACTACGGTTTATTGGAGACTGCAGAGAAGGCATACTCAGTATGAGCTTGAGTATTCTTTGATTCAAAGAATGGAACAGCTAAAATATCTCCATACTTTGTTAAAGATCCTTGAAAGAGCCAGACAAGAGTTTCTGATGAAACCAGAACTCATATCCAGAGAGATTATAATTAGTGATGTGAGTTGAGAATATTCCCATGCAAATATTCGCGAACATTGGGTAATTTCCGAGAATATTCGCCGATAAATTGTTACAAACTGAATTTCGAACACGTAAAGCTAATGGAGAGAATGTAGTCATAAGATATCAAAACCGTATTCCGAGCATTGCTTTTGGAAAAAACACGAAGTAGAGCCTTCTCTATGCAAAAACAATTCAAATCACACATCTCTCTACTAAATTAAAAATTCTACAAACCAATGTTGCTGCCAACTGTTATTCTGTAATTATTTTGACTGAAACCTGGCTAACAAGTGATGTCAATGACTGTGAGTTGGGATTGTGTGACTACAATATTTACCGATGCGACAGGAACAAAAACTCCAGCAGTGCCCTCAGAGGGGGAGGTGTCCTTATAGCAGTATCAAAAAAATTGAAAAGCTCCATGCTGCACTCTCCCAATGATGTTGAACAGTTATTTGTTTTGATCGGTTCTGGCTCCGATTCAGTCATAGTGTCTGCAGCTTATATACCACCTCGTTCCCCGTCAAATAAATACCAGAGCATTTGTTCAACATTGGATTCGGTCATGCAGATGCATAGAGTACCAGTATATATCTGTGGAGACTTTAATATGCCATACTGTACCTGGTCTGCAGATGAATATTGTTCAGTTCCATTGGTGGCTGATGGTGAGCGCAATCAGTTTGGAGATGTTGTCTCATTAATGTCTGACTCATGTGCATTTCACAATTTATACCAGGTAAACAATATCCCAAACCACAATGGCAAGACGTTAGATCTGATATTGACTGCCAATGAAACTACCTTAGTGTCCGTATGTGATGACGCATTGGTGCCGGCTGATGACTATCATCCACCATTTACATTCCAGATTCGGGGCGGTGCAAATCATACTAACTCTAGTGTTCCTCATGGTGATAACTTCTATTATGATTTTAAATCAGCTGATTTGGCACTGTTGAATGACTGTTTGGGTCAATTAAACTGGGATGACATACTGTCATCCCATGATTACTCAGTAAATGATATGGTAAATATTTTCTATGATATTTTATATTTTTTTATTCAGGCACTTGTGCCACAAAAAAAGGCGTCCAAACATAAATTCCCTTCCTGGTTTTCACCAGAGTTAAAACAACTGATAATATAAAAAAAGATGGCTCACAAATTGTACAAAAACTCAGGAGATAGGATCCATTATTTAAATTTCAGTAGGCTTAGAACAGAATGTAAAACCTTAACCCCCCAAACTTGTTACCTTCAATATGTTAAAAAATCCCAGGTCAGTTTAAAGCCAGGCGCAAACCAGAGCGGTGGCGGTGGCGGGCGCGGTAGCGGTGGCGAAGCGAACTGATATCCGCAAACCAACGCGTTTTTTCCGCGCAAATATTAGTACTTTCAGTATATTCATTTTCGCTTCTGGATCAAGATTGGTTGCAGAGTTTGCTCTACTGGCATATTTTAATGAACTACTCTCTGTTCTTTTTTCATTTATATTAATCTTTGTTTTACCAGGTGCTACTTGACTGTCATTTTTATCTTTTATTTTGACTCTAAAAGTACGCAATGAGTGCCCAAGACATGGAATAAGAAAAACCTTGTTTTCCTTTTTTTTTGCACATTTTCGTTTTTCAGTATCACACGACGTTTGCACTTCGCTGTACTGATGCAGATCGCGCGAACTTGGCGGAAAAATGATGCAGGCAGCGTTTTACCGCCGATCACAATGTGACCGCCGCAAAGCCGCGGTAGAACGCTGCAGGAACGGCGGGCGCGTTTTCCAGTTCGCCGCAGTATGCACGCGGTGATTTATTTACATGTGCATTATTCGTTCGCCACCGCCACCGCCACCGCTCTGGTTTGCGCCTGGCTTAACTGATAATCGAAATATTAAGCAGTTTTGGAATTTTGTAAAAAGTAAAAGAAGTGGAAACAAGCTTCCACCCCTAATGTTTTTTAAAGATAACCAGTGTCAACTTGGACCTGATCTACCTGATCTTATTGCCGAATATTTCCAATCTGTCTACACTAAGAAAACGGTTGCTCAGCAAAATGTTGCCTCATTCAATCATATCTGTTTTTCTGACTATACAATACCCATATCAACTATTTATGAGGAAATGACTAAGATCGACATAAATAAGGGCCCTGGGCCTGATGGTATTCCGCCCGTGGTTTTGAAAACTTGTAGCTTTCCTCTGGCTCGTCCATTTTTCATCATTTTCAATAAATCACTTTCCTCGGGCATATTTCCAGACTTCTGGAAGTTAAGCTACCTTAAACCCATTTTTAAAACAGGAAATAAAGCAGATATCTGCAACTATAGACCTATATGTAGCCTAAGCTGTATTCCGAAACTTTTTGAAAAAATTGTTGCTGATTATTTAAGATCTGTATTGAGTTTGACTATTATTGATGAACAGTTTGGCTTTTACAGCAAAAGATCCACAGAATTGAACTTAATTTCCTTTGCTGATTTCCTGTCAGACGTCTTGGATGAGAGAAGGGAGATGCACGCTATCTACACTGACTTCTCCAAGGCGTTCGACCGGGTCAATCATGAGATATTACTTGGAACACTGAAGGCGACCGGTCTTCAAGGGACCTTGTTGGAATGGCTAGCAAGCTACCTCACAGATAGATATCAAGCTGTCAAACTAAATAATTTCACCTCTAAAAATTTTCCCAACCCCTCTGGAGTCCCGCAGGGGTCCCATTTGGGACCTCTATTGTTTATATTATTTGTTAATGACATCGCAAAATGTTTCAAATTTTCTAAATTTTTATGTTTTGCTGACGACTTGAAGTGCTATATTTCCATTTCATCATTGGATGATTGTCAGAAACTTCAGTCTGATCTGGATAGATTAGCTGAATGGTGTGACCTAAATGCGATGGATTTAAATATCTCAAAGTGTAACTATATATGCTTTACCAAAAAACGTACCAAAAGTCAATTTAACTATAGCATAAAAGGCTCACTGTTATCCCAGGTTTCAACCATTCGTGACCTGGGAGTAACTATGGATTCGGCACTATCATTTGTCAATCATATTGATACCATAGTTTCAAGAGCACTAAGTATGCTCGGGTTCATCAAAAGAACTACATCTGATTTTACAAGTACTTCTGCCATTAGACTTTTGTATTGTAGCCTAGTAAGGCCTTTACTAGAATACTGTTCAACTGTGTGGAACCCCCATTACGCACACCATATACACAGGATTGAGCAAAGGAAATTTCTCAGGTACTTGGCTTATAAATCAAATATTCCTTCCCGCGATGATTACAGCTATGATTTTAAAATGCTTCAAGAGAGATTTGCGCTTCCAACATTGAAGGTTAGAAGAGATCAGGCAGATCTCAAACTATTCTTTAAGCTTATGAACTATATGGTTGACTGTCCTCTTTTGATCTCATCGGTGGTTCTTTCGGTTCCACCTAGAAATACTAGATCAACAAATATATTCCAGCAGCCCTTCAGGCGAACTAATGTTGGATCTAATTCTTTCATGCCACGCGTGGCAAAAATGGCTAATTCTCATTCTGGCAGCATCAATTTTTTCCATTCCAGCTTTGGTACTTTTGTGAGCTATTTAAAACATATTTGAAACATATTTAAGTTAAAAGATTTTTTTGTTTTTTTTCTCTCTTTCTTTCTATTCTTTAATCTTTGATTTCATATATATGTTATGTCTGGGAGATTATAAATTGCAAACGGGGTATTACAAAAAATAAGAAAAGTTCTGAAAATCATACAATCTCTCCAGATAACTTTAATCAGTATTTTGCAGAAATTGCAAATAATCTAGTAAAAGATATTCCACCAATCAACTTACGTCTTCCTGATATGAAGTTGACCACCACAGGAAATAACTTTTCTTTTTCTCCAGTAACTTTCAACCAAGTTAGAGACGTCATCAGTAACTTGAAAAATAAAAATAGCCGTGACCTTTATGGACTGAATGTAAAACTAATTAAATCTGTAAAAAATATTATAATAAGCCCTCTTACTAAACTGATAAACTTATGCTTTCAAGAAAATACATTCCCTCAAGTTCTTAAAAGAGCTGTTGTAACCCCCATTTTTAAAAAAGGTAACTCTCAACTACCTGAAAACTATAGACCAATTTCACTACTGCCAATAATTTCAAAGGTAGTTGAAAGATGTATGTCTCTACAAGTGGTTGATTTCTTCGAAAATAATAACTACTTTTCGAAAAGCCAATTTGGCTTTAGGGAAGGCAAGAATACAGTGCTGGCCATCCTGGACCTGGTCTCATATATAATAGATTCATT